GCCCATTTTGTAATTGGATTTCTTGTCTTCTTTTTGTTTAGCTGTATGAGTAATCTGCATATTTTGAATATGAACTCCTTATTTGATGTATCATTGGCAATTATGTTCTCCCATACAGTGGGTTCATTTTTCATTTTGATGCTGGTTTCTTTTGCCATACAGAAGCTTTTTAGTTTGATGTAGTACCATTTATTAATATTTTCCTTTGTTTTTGTGGTACTAAGTGATGCATCAGTAAAATTCTTCTACGTGTGATGTCTGAGATTTTGCTACCTATATTTTCTTCTGGAATTTTTATGGTTTCATGACTTACATTTAAGTCTTTTATCCATTTTTAGTTTATTCTTGTGTATAGTATAAGTTAGTGGTCTAGTTTTACTTTTCTGTATGTACCTATCCAATTTTCCCAAAACAATTTATTGAAGACATTGACATTTCTCCATTGTGTGCTCTTGCCTCTCTTGTTGAATATTAATTGGCATAATGTCTTGGGTCAATTTTTAAGTTCTCTGTTCTGTTCCATTGGTCTATATGCCTGTTCTTCTACCGGTATCAGGCTGTTTTGATTACGATGGTAGTATAAGTTTGTATCTGGTATTATGATCCCTCCCACTTTGTTCTTCTTTTGCAAGATTGCTTTGGCTATTCAGGGTTTTTTGTTGTTGTTGTTGTTCCATATAAACTTTTGAAGTTTTTGTTCTGGCTTGTGAAATATATCATTGGTACTTTAATAAGGGTTGCATTGAATCTATATATTGCTTTGGGTAGTATGGACATTTTAATGATGTTGATTCTTCCAATCCATGAACATGGTATATGTGTCCACATTTTTATATCTTCCTACATTTCTTTTTTCAATGTCCTGTAGTTTTCTGAGAACAGGTCTTTTACCTCCTTGATTAAGTTTATTTCTAAGTATCTTATTTTTTTTGTTGTTGCAATGGTAAATGGAATTTGTTTTTTTAGTTTCCTTTTCTGAGTGTTCATTATTAGTGTATAAAAATGCCATCAATTTCTGTATGTTAAATTTGTATCCCGCTCCTTTGCCAAATTCATTTATTAAGTCTAGTAGATTTTTGGTGGGGTCTTTAGGGTTTTCTATGTACAATATCATGTCATCTGTGAATAATAACAGTTTCACTTTCTTCTTTCCAATTTGGTTGACTTTTACTTTTTCTTCTTGTCTAATTATTGTGGCTAAGACTTCCAGAAATATGCTGAGTAAGAGTGGCAAAAGTGGGCATCCGTCTTGTTCCAGTTCTTAAGGGAAATGCTTTTAGTTTTTGCCCACTGAGTATCATGTTGGCTGTACTTTGTCATATATGGCCTTTATTATGTTGAGATATCATCCCTCTATTCCTGCTTTGATGATTGTTTTTATCAGAAATGGATGCTGGATTTTATCAAATGCTTTCTCAGCATCTATTAAAATGATTATATGATTTTTATTTTTCATTTTGCTTATGTGGTATATCACATTTGTTGATTTGCAAATATTTTACCAGCCTTGCATACCTCGAATGAATCTCACTTTGTTGTGGGGAATAATTTTTTAATATATTGCTGGATCCAATTTGCTAATATGTTGTTAAGGATTTTACCATCTATGTTAATCAGGAATACTGGCCTGTCATTTTCTTTCTTTTTATTTCTTTATCTGGTTTTGAAACTAGAATATTACTGGTCTCATAAAAACGCTAGAAGTCTTTCTTTCTCTCGAATTTTCTGGAATAATTTGAGGAGAATAGGTGTTAGTTCTTCTCTGAATGTTCAGTAAACTCCCCGGTGAAGCCTCCTAACCTGGTCTTTTGTTTGAGAAGAGTTTATTGGTTACAGTTTCAATTTTCTTAGTTGTTATTGATCTGTTCAAGTTTTTTGACTCTTCCTAATTCTATTTTGGGAGACTGTGTGATTCTAGGAATTTGCATGTTTCCCCTCGGTCGTTCAATTTGTTTGGTGTATGATTGTTCATAGTATTTTCTAACAATCCTTTGTACTTATGTGGTTTCAATTGTTACTTCTCTTCTTTTGTTTATGGTTTTGTTTATTTGATTCCTCTCTCTTTGTTTCTTGATGAGTCTGGCTCAATGTTGATCAATCTTGTTTATCTTTTCAAAGAACCAACTCTTGGTTTCATTGATTTTTTTAATTGTTTTTGGTTGTTTTTTTTAGTCTCTCATTTATTTCCACTCTGATGTTTTAAGTTGTAGGGTTAGAGAGTCTATTAGAAATTTTTCTTGTTTCTTGAGGTAGGCCTGTAATACTATGAACTTCCCCCTCAAGACTGTTTTTTCTGAGTCCCATATATTTTGTGTTGTGTGCTCATCATTTTCATTGATTTCCAGGAAGTTTTTTTTTATTTCTTCCTTGATCTCCTTGGTAACCCATTCATTGTTTAATAACAAGAAGTTAACCATTTCATATTATAGTATACTTCTTCTTATATTTTTTAATTTTTTTATATAATGGAAATTATATTCTGCAAGCATTTTAGAAGTTTGGCTGTTTTAAATATAATCTTATATCACAAGAGTTTTCCATATCATTAACAAAATTTGGGGGGCAATTTATTAGATTTATACTCTGTGCTGTGTATATGTGCTTTTATATTTTATTATTATTTTGAATAACACTTGGAGAAATACTTTAATACATAAATCTTAGTGAGCATTATCATTGCCTTAAAATGGAACTATGTCCTTAGAATTTGAATTATTGCTTATAAACATTTTTAAGGCTCTTAAGTCATATTATTAATTTGATTTCCAAAACCTTTGACCCAAATTATAAGTTTAGAAACTGTAGAGGAATCTGTTTATCCCACCATCTCTTTACCATATAGAATACTATCGTGGTTGCTTTAAATCTGTACTAATTTGTTGGGTGAAAATGATAAAATTTTTATTGTTTTAATTTACATTTCATTGATTACTAATGAAGATGGATAAATTTTATTTCTATTAACCATTTGTACTTCCTAGACTCTTCCTTCATTCTAATTGCAACTGGGTCTTGATATTTTGCTTAATGTGAATATTCATAAATTGAAGATGTTAATATGTTATCACATCATAAAAATATTGTTCTCAATATGGCACCCACTTTTCCATTTTGCTTATAATATTTTTATATCCTAAATGGGGAAAGAGCTTATTTGGGGAGAGTTCACAAACTCCTTGAGAATCTGATGAATCTCTCATTAGAAAAATAAACACTTGCACACAATTTGCAAACAATTTTAAAGGGTTTATGGACCTCTTGAATTCTATATATAGGCCCTTTAAGTTACATTGCTCATTCATTACTCTTTCATCTGGGTCCTGACTATGTCATAACCTGACAGGGTGATATAAACTCACTGTAACTTCTTAAAAATTTGATGTGTGAAAATTTAGAGAACATTGTGTGTAGTATTGTACTGGGAAAAGGCCGTGTACAATGGTAGGGAGAAACTATTTTAGGAGTCAGAAAACCTAAGCTCTCAACCTAATTCTGTTATCAGCTAAATGAACTGAGAAAAGCTACTTAATCTTTGTCTCCAGATCTTCATCTATAAAGTTTGCACATATATGTGTGTTCACTCATGTGTGTCTGTGTGTATGTGAGTGAGTTGTAGTGGAAGAAAAAATTCTCTAAAGTCCTTTCTATTTCTTAAAAGTACATACATTATATAGCAAAGTGATGTTCTATTATGTATACACTTTTGTTTTGAAGTAATTAAAGATCATCCTGGAGAAAAAAAAATGTAAACTCCAAACAACATAGCTGTGACTATTCAGCAGTCTTTAATTACAAGTAGCTATACTACCATTTAATGGGGCCATTAAAAATGTATTGTCACCATAGTAACTGCAAGATTATAAGACAGCAAATTTTTCCCTGAAATACTCATGCTGAGCAGCATACATTGTTTTATGTAATAGTTTCTTCAACCTTACATTTTCTTAACTGAAAATACATAACTTTCCCTTATTTCTGAATTTATTTGCAATCATATATATATCCAAAAAAACACAATGTTTTTAAAGAATCTGCTTTATTAAAAAAAAAAAACTTTCTGCCCTGGCCGATTTGGCTCCGCAGTTAGAGCATCAGCCTGCGGTCTAGAGAGACCCGGGTTCGGTTCCCCCTAAGGGCATGTACCTCGGTTATAGTTTGTCCCTGACCCTGGTTGGTTGTGCGGGTGGCAGCCACTCGATGTGTCCTTTCAATGTTTCTCTCTCTCTCTCTTCCTCTCTCTCCCTCCCACTCCATCTGAACAAAAAAATGGAAAAATGTCCTCGGGTGAGGATAAAAAAAAAAACAACTTTCTGATACTTGGAAATATAGAGTATCTGTTGTCAAAAGTGTCATTACCCTGTAGATTGAGAAACAAAAAGTGTTCCCACTCTAGATAAAATTCTTGTGTACTTCTCCTCCCACTAACTTTTCATCCTTTTGTACCTGAATTTTTCTCCCTGTTGCCCTTTGTCCTTTGGCTCTGTTTTTCTACGCCCCCCCAACCCTCCCCACTCCTGACACTCTTCCACTTGTACATCCTACATTCTATTTCTCCTTAGGTGGTCATTAAGAACCAAAATATGAGTTGATTTGTAAAATGAACTCACAAGGTTTGCATTTTGAGAGGGAAATCTTGAAGGTTATAAATCCTTCAAGACTCAAAGAGGTAAAGCTTTAGTCATGAAAAAATAATATGGTCAGTAATTTAGAATATTTTATCCCAATCTCATGCTCCCTCAAGTAACCCTAGAAAAGAGACAAAAATGAGGAAACAGCAATGACCAAAGTTGCAATAGCCAAAGAAGTCAAGTATAGTGTCAGTCATCATTTCCAGCAAGGGCAATGGCATGGGTGTTAGAAACTTCTTTTCATTTAAAATGAAAGAATTTGAGTAGGCTGTTAAAAAGTTTTCTTCACTTTCACATCTATCCAAATGCCATCATCACTGGCATTATCTTGTCCAGATTCTTATGGACAAATGAAAAGTGTACAATCTTACCTCTTCTATTCCAGGACTTCTGTGTCCAGCTCTGATATGGTCAAATACTAAAGTGAACATAAATCACAGTTTCTCAGAACTTTTAATAAGCCATAGTAAAAGCAATGAATATGACTTATATAAACAAAACAGAGTTAGAACCAAGGCAGAGACCCAATAGTCTTACCTCCAGTGTGTAGGACTGTCCCCTAGTGCATACTTCCAGTGATTCTAGATGTTCTACTATATCTCTGTTCCAAAAATTCTTATCTGCGCAGGAGCTATCCAAAAAGAATGAAACAAATGAGGGAGGTGGCTAATTATCCTTAAGGTGTCATGAGAAACTATAGCAGAAGTTTGTCATTATCTTTTTTTTACAAAACTGAATCTATTCCTCACTAGTGTCAATATTATATGATACTTTTATGTGTAATCATAGAATGACAGAGCTGCAACGAAATCGTAGTTTATTCTAGCACAACCACTGACTATACAAATTGGTAAAATTGAATAATTTTCCCAAGATCATAATGCTAAACAATAATACAGTTAGTGCTTGCCCTCACAAGGTTGCGTTCAATTCATTTACTTACCCATTTCCCAAAACTCTAATCTATCTCATATCTTGACTTCCCCCCTTATTAGTTTGTATTCTATGAACATCATTGTAACCACTCCCTTATGCTCAATTATATTTACCCTCACTCACTCTGTTATAATCTAAGCCTCAATCATGATTAAATAAAACTTTCTATCTACTCCAGACCTAAACCTAAGCATCTGAATATGTCTGGAGAAAAGCATTCAGTTGACAGGTCTCAGTCAAGTATAGAAATATTGACCTCAAGGGGTCTCTGGTCCTTCCCTGTGATCCAACTAAATTTTTAAAGTCAATTTCTCTCCCATTCTTCAAAACACACTTTCTCCTTTAGCTTCAAGCTCTATGACTTTCTACCACCTTTATATCTTCACACTAAGAAAGTTAAAACAATCAGAAGAGAACTTCAAAACACTCCCCGCCAAAACCACCCACTCACCTCCAGATGTATCCATATATCCTGTCTTCTCTTCTATAACAGAGGATGCACTCTACCCTGTATCTAGTTCCTTCATTTCTTGATTAGATTCCACCACCTCTTTTCTACTACAGAACATTATTCTTGCAATTGCCCCACTATGCCTTGATTAATTCATTTTCCCATTCTACAAGAAACACAAGTGAATTTGTTCATGATTCCAGAATTTAGGTTGGGCTCAGGTGGAGAGTTCTTCTGATGTGTCCACTTATGAGGTCACTCATGTGGCTACAATCACACAGCAGGTCAACTAGAGAAGTAGGTCCAGCATGATCTTTCTCCTTTGTCTAGTGATTCCTAGGCCTGTTGGCTGGAGTGTCTCAGTTCTCATGCACATGGGCTTTGTAGCAGGATGTTTCTGATTTCTAGTTTGATGGTGGAACATTCCAAAAGAAAATGAGCAAAAACCACAAGACAAAGTAAGACTTTGATGAAAAGTCACACATCACTTCCACTGCATTATATTGCCACCACTTACCAGTGACAGGAAATAAAACACTCAGAGAAATGAGAGCAGAGTGAATGGAATCTACACAGACCATCTCCCAGGATCAAACTGGAATAACAACTAAAATAAAGACAAATAATCAGGAAAAAAACAACAACAACAACAGAAAAGCAGCTGGAGATGACCCATATAACCAGGGACAGAAAAAGGACACTAAATTGAGCCTAATAGAAACTGCAAAGGAATGAGAGGCAGGCTGGAAGCCCAAAGATAGCAGTTGTTTTAGCTGTGAGCAGCTTCTTCGGGGTTAACATCCCAAGCTGGCTCCAGAACACAAAGGGCCAGGAGAGATTACTAAATTAGCTACAGCTACACACCTTGGGCTCTGGCAGAGGGAGGGCAGACTGGACTGGAACTGTGTAGAGACTCAGGAGCATGGAGAGCTGGGAGGGCCATGGGAGTGTTATGCTGAATCACTTCCTCACACAACAGTAGCCATCTTACTCAAAGATCCCCTTCCCAGAGCCCCAGGGGGAAGTAAAAGCCCCTCTCCCTCAGGAATTTAATACCACCTGGCTAGGCAAGATAAATACAAATTGAGGCTCATTAACAGTCAGTAAGCATCTGTTCCACCGGCTGGAAATCCTCTTATCCTGAACACCTGAGGCAGTTTTTCATTCATTTGAAGCCTACAATACAAGCCTCATCAAGTAACCGCAACTATTAGCCTTCAGGATAAAGCTACAGGATAACTGAACCTTTCCTGGGCTTGCAAATCTACCTAGGAAAGTAGGACTTGACAATGGTGTTTAACATGGGTACTCCCGCACTCATCCAAACTCAGTAGAGGGAGCCACAACCAGTGGAACACCAGCACCCACAGGGAAAATATGGAGGGCTTCAAAATCCACTGAGACAGCCAAAATGGTGAACAAAGAAACAAATCCCAAATGAAAGAACAATACAACTCTATTGAAGATGAGATCAATTAAATGCAGTTAAACAAATTATCAGAGGTAGAGTTCAAAACCATGATCTTGAGGAAACTCAACAGCATGAGTAAGGAGATCAGCACCATGAGTAAAGATATAGAAACACTGAAAACCAACCAAATGGAAATGAAGAATGACATAGCAGAAATAAAGAACTTATTGGAGGGACTAACCAGCAGAGTAGAGGAAGCTGAGGACTGGATCAGTGAATTAGAAGACAGGGTAAAAAAAATCAACCAATCAGAAAATCAAAAAAAAAAAAAAAAAAGAGGAAGACAGCTTAAAAGAACTATGGGATAACATGAAACATAATATCTGCATCAGAGGAGTTCCAAAAAAAAAAAAAAATAGAGCAAGAGTTAGAGAATATATTTGAAGAAAGAGTGACAGAAAACTTTTATAACTTGATGAAGAAAAATGACCTGCAGGTACAAAAGCACAGAGCGCCCCAAGAAAGAAGAACCTAAACAGGCCCACAACAAAACACATAATAATTAAAATGCCAAATTAAAGACAAAGAGAGAATCCTAAAGGCAGCAAGAGCTAAGCAACAGGTTACCTACATAGGAAACCCCACAAGGCTCTCAGCTGACTTCTCAACAGAAACACTACAGGCCAGAAGGGAATGGCATGTAGTAATCAAGGTCATGAAAAACAATGATCTAAATCCAAGACTACTCTCTCCAGCAAGACTAACATTCAAAATGGAAGGTAAAATAAAGAGCTCCCCAGACAAAAAAGGCTAAAAGACTATATTAGCACCAAACGAGCACTGCAAGAAATGTTAAAAGAACTGCTGTAATTAGTAGAAAATACATATATACATAAGCATAATAAACAAAAGTGGCAATAAATAAGTACATATCAATAATAGCCTTAAATGTAAATGAATTAAACACCCTTATCAAAAGACACAGAGTGGCTGATTGAATAATAAAGCATGACTTGCCCTGGCCAGTTTGGCTCAGCGGTTGAGCGTCGGCCTGCGGTCCTGAGAGACCCGGGTTCGGTTCCCGCTAGGGGCACGTACCTCGGTTGCAGTTTGTCCCCGGCCCTGGTCGGTTGTGTGGGTGGCAACCACTCGATGTGTCCCTTCACATCGATGTTTCGCTCTCTCTGTTCCTCTCTCTCCCTCCCACTCTACCTGAACAAAGAATGGAAAAATGTCCTCAGGTGAGGATAAAAAAATAAATAAATAAATAAATAAAGCATGACTCATATACATGTTGTTTACAAGGGATCCACCTCAAAACAAAAGACTCACATAGCTTGAAAGTGAAGGGATGGAAATAAATCTTCTAAGCAAATGGAAAGAAAAAAAAAAGCTGGGGTAGCAATACTCATATCCAATAAAATCTACTTCAAAATGAAAGCTGTAACTAGAGACAGAGAAGGCCGCTACATATTGAAAGAATCAATCCAATAAGAAGTAACCTTGGTAAACATATATGCACCCAATATAGGAGCACCAACATATATTTAAAAACTTCTGGAGGACTTCAAAGGATAAATCAACAGCAATACAATCATAGCAGGGGACTTCAACACCCTGCTGTCATCATTGGATAGATCCTCTAGACAAAAAATTACCAAGGAAACAGAGACTCTAAATGATGCACTAGATCAAATGGATTTAATAGACATCTACAGAGAATGCCACCCCAAAACTGTAGAATTCACATTCTTCTTAAATGCACATGGGACATTCTCAAAGACAGACTACATGTTAGGACAAAAGTAAGTCTCTACAAGTACAAGTAGATTGAAATCATATCAAGCATCTTCTCAGATCACAATGGCATGAAACTAGAAATCAATTACAACCAAAACATTTAAACACATGGCATGTGTAAATAGCATGTTATTAAATAATAAATGGGTTACCAAGGAGGTCAAGGAAGAAATTAAAAACTTAATGGAAACCAATGAAAATGAACACAAAACAATACAAAATCTATGGGACACAGTGAAAGCAGTCCTGAGACAGAAGTTCATAGCCCTACAGGCCTACCTCAAGAAAGAAGAATAATTTCTAATTGACTTTCTAACCCTGCAACTTGAAGAACTAGAAAGCAAACAAAAATAAAAAAACCCAGAGCAAGTAGTACAAGAAAAGAAAGAGTAAACATCAGAGCAGAAATAAATGACATAGAGACTAAAAAGAAAATTTAAAAAATCAATGAAACAAAGAGCTGGTTCTTGGGAAAAATAAACAAGATTGATTAGCTAGACTCACCAAGAAACAAAGAGAGAGAAACCAAATAAACAAAATCAGAAATGAAAGAGAAGTAACAACTGACACCACAGAAATACAAAGGATCGGTAAAAAACAAATACTATGTACAATTACACACCAGGAAATTGGACACTCTAGGCAAAATGAATACATTTCTAGAAACATATAGTCTCCCAAAACTGACGCGGGAAAAGAGAGAAAACTTGAACAGACCAATAACAACTAAGGAAATTGAAGATGTAATCAAGTATCTCCCAGCAAACAAAGCCCGTGCCCTAAAGGCTTCATGGGGGAGTTCTACTGAACATTCAAAGAAGACCTAATACCCATTCTCTTTGAACTATTCCAAAATATTCAAGAAGAAGAAAGACTTCCAAATTCGTTTTATGAGGCCAGCATAATTCTAATTTCAAAACCAGATAAAGAAACTACAAGGAAAGAAAACTACAGGCCAATAACCGTGATGAACATACATGTCAAAGTCCTTAACAAAATATTAGCAAATCAAATCCAGAAATACATTTAAAAAATTATTCATCATGACCAAGTGGGATTCATCCCAGGGATGCAAAACTGGTACAATATTCGCAAATCAATAAATGTGATACACAACATAAACAAAATGAAAGATAAAAACCATATGATCATATCAATAGATGCTGAAAAAGCATTCAACAAAATCCAGCAACCATTTCTGATAAAAACGCTCAGCAATGAGGGAACATAGCTCAACATAATAAAGGCCATATATGAAAAACCTACAGCCAGCAGCATGCTCAATGGGCAAAAGCCTGGTACTAGCACAAGAGAATAGGCATATAGGTCAATGGAACAGAATACAAAACCCAGAAATTGACCCAAGACATGCTCAACTAATATTTGACAAAGGTAGCAAGAGCATACAATGGAGTAAAGACAGCCTCTTTAATAAATGGTGTTGGGAAAATTGGACAGCTACATGCAATAAAATGAAACTTGACTGCCACCATACACAACAATAAACTCAAAATGGATAAAAGACTTAAATGTGATTTGTGCATCCATAAAAAATCTTAGAAGAAAATGTAGGCAACAAAATTTCAGACATGCAGCAGAATGTTCACTGATATAATGCCTAAGGCAAGAGAAACAAAGGGAAAAATATGGGGAACACATCAAACTAAAAACCTTCTGCACAGCAAAAGAAACAAGCATCAAAATGGAAAGGGAACCCGCTATATAGGATCAGATATGCAGTTAATTTCCAAAATACATAGAGTACTCATACAACTCAACAAAAGGAAGACAAAGAACCCAATTAAAAACTGGGCAGAGGGCTTACATAGACACTTCTCCAA